TTAGAAGGGGTTCTCTGTTTTACCAACCGATTTTTTTAGTTCTGGCTGCCGCCGACAGATGGCGCCACCATCGAATTCAAACCTGCATGGCGGGAAATTTAAAATTTTAATTTCAAACTTTCAAGTGGCTTAGAGAGGGTTCTCTGTTTTACCGACCGACTTCTTTTTAGTGCCGGCTACCGCTGATGGATGGCGCTACTAGCGAATTCAAACTTGCTTAGCGGGAAATTTAAAAATTTATTTGAAAAATTCAAACCGCTTGGACAGTGAGCCGCCATTTTGTTTTACCGACAGAGTGCGGTTTGAGTGTTGTCCCGAGAGATGGCGCCACTAATTAATATATAATAAAAATTTATTTTAACAAAGAATATGTATAGTGGTGATAAATGATGGCGTAACTAATTATTAATATTAAAATATTTGAGTAAGTTTTTTTACTAAATGTAATTTACCAGCTAATTCCTTATAGTTTTTACAACAAATGGTGATATTTATTATTTAAATTTATTAAAAATATTTAATTAAACAGTTTTACCAACTCTTCGAAAATTATTTAAATATTTATTAAGTATTTATATAATGAATTAAATGTTAGTCATGTTTTTTATAAAATTATTTATTAATAAAGGTAAGTAATATTTATAACTAATTTATTAAAACATCAATTTATTTTATTATCATTTAAAAAACGTTTAAATTTGAGTTAATGTCGCGCTGCTTTCAATACACTCGAATCAAATTTCCACAAGCTTGAAAGAAACGTTCTCATTGGTCAATTCCTTTATGAAAAAATTTATTTATGGTTTGTTATGAAAATCTAAAAAAATATTATGTTTATTATAAACTTTAATAATATTTACTTAATAATTAATGAATTATCTTTATTATAAATACCTATTAAGTATATATTTGAATTTATTTCAAAAATTTATTTCTGTAATTTACTAATTTTTATACAACTTTAGTGTGTGGCGGGAATTTTCAACTTTCATTGTACTCAATACTATATACCTACTGTTTTTATAAATAAATAAAAATTTTATTAACATTTATAGTGTATATAAACTAAGTTTTAAAATTTTATCACTGAAAACAAAGTTAAATAATAAAAATTGTGAAAACTGTTTAAAAAATGTTCAATTAAACCGCTCCTGAACTATGCAGCCGCCATGTTTACAACTAACCTAACCTCTAACAAACAGACTGGATTTTAAAATCATAAAGCATCGTTACGTCTAAGTATAATTGTATTAATATCATAATGGTAAGTGAAACTAATAAACATTTTCCTTACTTATTATAGATTTTAACGTTAATTAATATATTTTCTTCTAAATAGGATCCAGCTCAAATAAGAGTGATTTGCAACTGCCGAGAACCAAATTGTAGACTTCATCATCTACAGCAAAGAATTGTAAGTCTCAAAAATATTTTTAGTCTTCATTACTTATTCTTTTAATTTACTCATTTAACATTCACTGTCTTTACAAATATTTAAAAACCTAACCTGTCAGAGAAATCTTTTTTTGTCTAATTAATTTACCCTCTTACTTTCTTAATAGTATTCAAAACCTAACCTGCCAAAGAAATGTTCTTGTTAAATCAATTTTTTTAATCAATAGTTTTATTTTAGTCTAATAAATTTTCTCATTTAATGTTCACTGTCTTTACAAATATTTAAAAACCTAACCTGTCAGAGAAATCTTTTTTTGTCTAATTAATTTTAATCTAAATTAATTTCTAATTAATAACCCTCTTACTTTCTTAATAGCATTCAAAACCTAACCTGCCAAAGAAATGTTCTTGTTAAATCAATTTTTTTAATCAATAGTTTTATTTTAGTCTAATAAATTTTCTCATTTAATGTTCACTGTCTTTACAAATATTTAAAAACCTAACCTGTCAGAGAATTCTTTTTTTTGTCTAATTAATTTACCCTCTTACTTTCTTAATAGTATTCAAAACCTAACCTGCCAAAGAAATGTTCTTGTTAAATCAATTTTTTTAATCAATAGTTTTATTTTAGTCTAATAAATTTTCTCATTTAATGTTCACTGTCTTTACAAATATTTAAAAACCTAACCTGTCAGAGAAATCTTTTTTTGTCTAATTAATTTACCCTCTTACTTTCTTAATAGTATTCAAAACCTAACCTGCCAAAGAAATGTTCTTGTTAAATCAATTTTTGTAATCAATAGTTTTATTTTTGTCTAATTAATGTACCCTCTTACTTTCTTAATAATATTCAAAACCTAACCTGCCAAAGAAATGTTCTTGTTAAATCAATTTTTTAATCAATAATCTCTTTTAAAATATTTGTTATATTATTGCAATGATAATACCTTATTAAAAATATTTTTAGTGTAATAAATTATTTATTTCCTATTTCAATATTGTAATAAATATTTGTTTTTAGAATAATTTGAACGCCGAACTTGCAGCCATGGAGAATGTTGAGTACAATCCCGAAGAGCCGGGGTTGTTTCTTCGAAGAAGAAATCGTTGGGATGAGCAACCAAACAACGTTCCAGATCAAAATGTTGAGCGAAATAACATTGACCTTGCAGCGCAACAAGATGGTCAATTGGAGATCATCAATCCAATAATTCCATTTGTATATGATCCAACAGGGGATCCACAACCATGGATCAGAATTCGGACTCGACCCCAATTGTCTATAGCACCTCGAGCACCAGTGCCGGCACCAAGAGAAGCTGCACCACAAGTAATTCAACCAATTGCTGATGTGCCACAAGCAGTTGCCCCGATCGCAGCACCTCGAGCACCAGTGCCGGCACCAAGAGAAGCTGCACCACGAGTAATTCGTCGAATCGCTCATGTGCCACGAGCAGTTGCCCCGATCGCAGCACCTCGAGCACCAGTGCCGGCACCAAGAGAAGCTGCACCACGAGTAATTCGTCGAATCGCTCATGTGCCACGAGCAGTTGCCCCGATCGCAGCACCTCGAGCACCAGTGCCGGCACTAAGAGAAGCTGCACCACGAGTAATTCGTCGAATCGCTCATGTGCCACGAGCAGGAGCTCCAATTCCAGCACCTCGAGCACCAGCGCCAATTCCAGCCCCAAGACGTTCTATTTTGATCCCACCACGCAATCTACGTGGAACAACACGCCAACGGATTTCAAGATCAATGAAAAACTTAGCTACTGCATTCACAAAAAAAAGACGCTAGTTTTTCATTTAATTTTTTTACATTCTAATTCTCCACTTTGATATTTTATTTATCATTTTCTTTATTTTTTCAACTTTTTTAATGTTAAATTTACAACTTACATTCATATAAAAAAATGTTTTTTTTAGTTTTTTAATTCTTTCATAGAATTAAATTATTTTTACTTTAATAGTTTTTTTCAATCGGTTTTTTTCTATATAAAAAATGTTTTTGTTTTTTTTATTTAAATAATCTCAGAATGAAATAGTTTTTTTAATTTCATTTTCTTTAAAAAAGTTTTTCTAGTTTTTTTATTTCTTTTAAACAATTAAATTATTTGTTTTTCTTTCAACTGGATGTTCTTTAAAAATGTTTTTTTTTTAATTTTTTACTTCTTTCAAAGAATTAAATTATTTTTACTTTAATAGTTTTTTTCAATCGGTTTTTTTCTATATAAAAAATGTTTTTCTTTTTTTATTTAAATAATCTCAGAATGAAATAGTTTTTTTAGTTTTATTTTCTTTAAAAAAGTTTTTCTAGTTTTTTATTTCTTTTAAACAATTAAATTATTTGTTTTTTTTTTTTCAACTGGATGTTCTTTAAAAATGTTTTTTTAATTTTTTATTTCTTTCAAAGAATTAAATTATTTTTACTTTAATAGTTTTTTTCAATCGGTTTTTTTTTCTATATAAAAAATGTTTTTATTTTTTTTATTTAAATAATTTCAGAATGTAATAGTTTTTTAAATTTTATTTTCTTTAAAAAAGTTTTTCTAGTTTTTTTATTTCTTTTAAAGAATTAAATTATTTATTTTTTTCAACTAGATTTTCTTTAAATGTGTTTTTTAGTTATTTATTTCTTTCAAAGAATTAAATTATTTTTACTTTAATAGTTTTTTCAATCGGTTTTTTCTATATAAAAAATGTTTTTTTTGTTTTTTTTTAGTTTAATAGGTTTTTCAATTGTTTTTTTCCTTAATAAAAAAAAGTGTTATTGTTTTGTTTTTATTTCTTTCAAAGTATTTATGTTTTATGATCTCAGATTGTAATAGGTTTTATAATCATTTTTTCCTGCATGAAAAAAAAGTGTTATTGCTTTTTTTGTTTCTTTTAATATTTTTTATTATGTTTTTATAAACGTTTTATAATATTACTATTTTTATACAAATTGTACGAAAATGTTTATATATATATTTTTTTGTAAGCATTTAAATATGTAAATAAAAAAGATAAATAAGCTATTATTAAAATGTGTTTGTTTCATTAAATTTTCCATTAACAATAAGTTTGAATCTTTTTTAAATAATGTTAATAAACGTAATTATTACTTGTTGAGTAAAATTTAAATACTTAGTAATATTTAGGTTAAAAAAATTGGAAAATTTCACTAATATTTGAGTAAAATTTAAATACTTAGTAATATTTAGGTTAAAAAAAATTGGAAAATTTCACTAATATTTTTTTAAAATAATTTAATTACAACATAAACATACAATTAAAACTGGAATTTTAAATAAATATGAATATTCAGTATAATTAATTTATTATAACAAAAATTTATTTGCAATAATTTCTTTTTCACAATAATATTAATAATTAATTATCAATTAAGGTTAGTTTAATTTATTAATTCTTGCTTGTTGCTAAATATTAATAATTTAATATTACTACTTTTAATTATTTTATTTATTAATAGAATATGGTATAATAAATATATAACTTTATAGTAATTTTCATTTTTCGAACTCAAATTTCGCGCCTTACCTACGGATGATCAGTAACATCTCAGTTACCTTTAACTACCGCGTGTAGCGCATGTAGCGAAAGTGAATGGTGGGGGACACCACATGGTGGGGAGAGAGACCTACAAGGGAGACCGGCACACGGCAGAGAGCTCATTCGGCTCATAGCAGCAGTTTGAGCAGGTCGCGATGGAGAGCTGCTACGAGTGTCAGGTGCGAGCGATCTCAATGTATAATGTGAGTATTAGTAATTCAGTAATTGAGTAAATAGATAATTAATTAAATATAATTATTTAAATGTAATTAATTTGTTTAGTTGCAGAATGAAGGGAATGAACTCCCGCTTCCCGCAACTCCTCCAGGGCCGTCCCAGTCACCGTGGTACCAGGTGGTGAATCCGCTACCACCTTCGGTGGACGTCAGGTCGCCGACATCGGAGCTGTCACCGCTGCACGCCATGTATCCTATGTGGCGGCCATATTCACCACCCTGGGCGTTGGTGGAACGACCGCCGACACCACCTCAACTCAGGATGGAACCGGAGTCTCCCCCACCCTTCATTCAGTTGGGGACTCCACCCAGGTCGCCTACACCGGTGGAATGGCTGCCTACAACTCCGCCAGGAAGTCCACCACGGTGTAGGTCACCGATACCCAGGGTGGAGTCCCCCGAGCCCAGGGTAGAGGAGAGAGAGCCGGCGGGACCTCCACCAGAGGCGCAGCCACCGCCCGCTCACGGTCGGCGTCGCTGCCATCGACGGCGGCGCGTAACTTTAAATTTAACTCTGAATTTTATTTTTAATAGTCAATAAATTTTTATTTTTTTGTAAATTAGTATATTTATTTTGCGTATCCTGTATAGAAATTGTTACGACTGCGTTAGAGTAAGAGTGTTGCGCATGCGTGAATAGGTGGGGGAAAATTTAAGAGTAGGGATGCGTGATAGGTTGGAGTGAGGGTAAATGGTCTAGTGCGCATGCGTGAAAGGTAGGAGTGGGGATTTCGGGGTATATATTCAGGGATTTTGGCGAGTTTAGTCAGTAGCTGTTCTGTTCACAGATTCAGCGGTTCCAACAGCAGCAGCAGCATCAGCAGATTCCCCTTGCCATTACTAATTGTCTTTTTTGTTATATTTACTGTCTTTTTTGTTATATTTACTGTCTTTTTTGTTACATTTACTGTGTTTATTGCATTTACTTTGTATTGGTTTGTAGGTTAAGTTCTTTAGTTTGTAAGTTCGTTTTGTTTAGTATAAGTATTTTAGTTTGTAAGTTCATTCTTTTGTTAGTTTGTAAGTGTGTTCTTTTTAGTTTGTAAGTGTGTTCTTTTGTTAGCTTGTAAGTGTGTTCTTTATTCTTTTTTGTTAGCTTGTAAGTGTTTAATTTCAGGTGCAGAGATGAAGCGTAAGGCGAAGACCACCGATGGACCACCACGTAAGTATCCGAATTACGGTACTATTCTCGACGAGAGTGACGTAACTATTACTCTCATCAAGGAGGCTCTAGAGTTGATTCCTCTTTTAGACGACGTCAATTTAAGACGTTCATTCGTTGGGAGATGGATTGTAGAATGCTCACAACATGAAAACGTGTTATCGAGCATTCTCAAGTCGATGTACTTTACACATCAAAAGAAAAGATGTGTGAGCATTCTACAATCCATAATTAGACTTCGCGCATTATTTGAGTCCCACGTAGTAGATGGCGCTGGAATCGGTGACCCAGACATTAATAAACGTGTTCGCTGGGAAGAATGTGAGAGTGCGTTTGCGTGTAGACTGTACACTAATGTGATCCTGAATCTAGTGCACATTGATATAAGCGCGTTTTTAGACGATGCGTCTAGACTTTTTCAGGACCGCATTAGAGATGCTATAAACAAATATGGTCCTATTTTGGTGTATGGTGTTCTCATTGCCAACTTTAAAAGGGTTGAGAATGAGGAAGAAGTAGCTAAGCCAATTCCGTTTGGAACTAAGGCTAACAGCATCTTCCCCACAACCCTTTTAGATGATTGGTTTGATGAGAACATCAAGCAGCCAATCTTGCGCAGTGTAGAAGAGTTTCACGCAAAGGGTTCAAATTGGAATCTTCAGTCTATTATAAGACTTGAAGTGAATGTAAACAAATACAATCCAATGCGTGCGAGCTCATACATTGATCTACCTTCACAAATTAAAAGAAAGAAAGCCTGTATTAACGTGCAAAACAAGATAACGAGTGCTTTAAGTGGGCGGTACTGTCAGCCTTACATCCAAATGTCGTGAGAAGTGATCGTGTTTCTAACTATAAAGAATTTGAAAATGAGTTAAATTTTGACGGAATAGATTTCCCAGTAACGTTAAAAAATGTCCCGAAATTTGAAAAATTAAATGATATTTCAATTAATGTCTATGGTTTATCAAAATACTATGGGGACTTCTCAACACATCCTCTCCATCTCACTGCGGAAAAAAGAGATAAGCATGTAAATCTCTTGTATGTTGCCGACATGTATGCGGATGAAAGTGTTGACAGTAATGTATTGTATGACGATGATGGTTTTATGAATTTCCATTATGTATGGATAAAAAATTTGTCACATCTTGTTTCGAAACAATTGTCTGCTAAAAATGGTAAAAAACATATCTGTGACCGATGCTTACACTACTTTTCATCTGTAGATAGATTGAATGCACACATTGAAAATTGTAAAAAAGTGAATGAGTGTAAAGTAACGTTACCAAAACCTGACAAGAGTCTGATTACATTTAAAAATTATAAAAATAAAGAAAAGGTGCCATATGTAATTTACGCTGACTGTGAAAGTCTACTTCTTCCCGCCGATGAAGATGTAGACAATTTAAGTAAGACTGAGGTATTCCAGCGTCACAAATTGTTAAGCATAGGCTATTATATAAAATGCAGCTACGATGAATCATTATGTAAATATGTACCATGTCCGAAAAATGAATCCGACCCTGCCAAATGGTTTACTGAGGAATTAAGGCAATTATCTGAAAAAATTGATAATGTATTCAAAAATCCGATACCAATGAATGCCTTAACTCCTCAAGAAATCAGTGACTTCAAGCGAGCGACAATATGTCACATTTGTAATGAGAAAATACCGGCAAGCGAAAAGAAAGTCCGTGATCACTGTCACCTTACTGGCAAATATAGGGGTGCTGCCCATGAATCGTGCAATCTAAACTATCAAGATTGTCAAACGATCCCCGTAGTATTTCACAACCTAAGTGGCTATGACGCCCATTTTATAATTCACGCGATTTCGACGAGCTTTGAAGGAAAAATTGACCTCCTCCCCATTAACAAAGAGAAGTATATCTCTTTTACTAAACATGTCAAGGGGAGTGAGGTCAAATTTCGATTCATTGACTCATTGCGATTTATGGCAGCATCTCTAGAGAAACTCGCATCGTACCTAGACGAGTACAAAATCGTCAACTCCGTTTTTGCCAGTACGGTGACAGATCCGGAAAAAAATTAAATTATTGACGCGCAAGGGTGTATTCCCTTATGAGTACTTTGACTCGAAAAGTAAGTTAGATGAGACAGAATTGCCCCCGATCGAGAAATTTTATAGTACGCTTTATGATGCCGGTATTTCTGATGACGAGTATGCGCATGCGCAGAAAGTATGGACCGAGTTTGACTGTCAGAATCTCTACGACTATGTACATTTGTATATGAAAACAGATGTATTGTTACTTGCGGATGTCTTTGAAAATTTTCGAAAAGAATGTGTTAAAGCGTACGGGTTAGATCCTGCTCACTATTATACGACCCCCGGTTTAACTTGGGATGCTATGCTCAAGTACACGAGCATAGGATTGCAACTAATAACCGATATCGATATGATTATGTTTGTTGAGTCCGGTATTAGAGGTGGCATAAGTCAATGCTGCAACCGATATACTATAGCGAATAATAGATATATGGAAAATTTCGATGATAGCAAAGATACAAGCTACATCATGTACTTTGACGCCAACAATTTATATGGCTGGGCAATGGCTCAAGCGCTCCCTTATGGCGGCTTCAAATGGGTTGATAATGTCGACAACTCCTTCGATTTTAATGTGCCTGACGATTCACCTGTTGGGTACATACTCGAAGTTGACTTGGAGTATCCTGAAAATCTCCACGATACTCACAAAGATATGCCATTTTGCGCAGAAAATGCGAAACCACCCCTCTCGAAACAGGAGAAATTATTAACAACTCTCCAACCAAAAGAAAAATATGTGATCCACTACCGCACTTTAAAACAAGTTGTCGCCAACGGCATTAAGCTTGTTAAAATTCATCGAGTCTTACAGTTTAAGCAATCAACATGGCTTAAACCATATATAGACTATAATACGATGATGCGAACCAACGCCAAGAATGAGTTCGAGAAAAATTTGTTCAAGCTCATGAACAATGCGGTATACGGTAAAACAATGGAAAATGTCCGTAAACATGTCGACATTAAGCTTGTCACCCAATGGTTTAGCCGCTATGGAGCTGAAGCCCTTATTTCTCGCCCCAATTTCCATAGTCGAGCAATATTCGACGAAAATCTGGTTGCCATTGAACTGCGTAAAACCGAGGTACTACTCAACAAACCAATCTATGTGGGGTTAAGTGTGCTCGATGTTTCCAAAACGCTAATCTACGATTTTCACTACGGGTATATGTTAAAAAAATACGGCGACAATTGTAAACTGATGTATACCGATACAGACAGTCTAATCTATGAAATTAAATGTAAAGATGTCTACAATGATATGAAAAATGACATCCAAAAGTTCGATACGTCAGACTATCCCGCAAACAACGTGTACGGCATTCCGCAAGCCAACAAAAAGATTCTCGGTCTAATGAAAGACGAATGTAACGGCAAGATCGTTACCGAATTTGTTGGCTTGCGGAGTAAGATGTACAGCGTACGGGTTGAAGGTAAAGATTTTATTAAAAAAGCTAAAGGCATTAAATCCGGCGTTGTGAAAAAATCGATTCACTTTGATGATTATGTAAAATGTCTGCGAGATTTTGACATTCAAACTCGAACACAGTATAATATAAGATCGCGACTACATAACCTCGAGACTGTAAAACAAATTAAAGTAGCTTTAAGTCCGCAAGACGACAAACGGTATTTGTTACCGGGGAGTACCGACACTCTACCGTGGGGACATTATGCGATCCCTAAAATCGACGAATGATTTTGTAAAACATGATTGTAAAAAAAAATAAAAGGTTTGTTAATAAATAATGCAATTATATATACAATTTCCATGTGTTTTTATTTAAAAAATCCTTCCATATATACATAATAACATATGATTAAAACTTATATTAATTTAAATGTGCAAATCGCCCCTAGTAACTTAACGCAAATGCCAATCAGCCAGCAAAGCAATCAAAGATTAATGTTAGCGTAGAATCTCTTTATAAATCAAATTACTTCCAACAACAGACCTTCACAATGCCAGTGCCAACTGATTTGATTCATTATTGATTCATTGTTGATTCATTATTGATTCATTATTGATTCATTGTTGATTCATTATTGATTCATTATTGATTCATTATTGATTCATTATTGATTCATTGTTGATTCATTATTGATTCATTGTTGATTCATTATTGATTCATTATTGATTCATTGTTGATTTATTATTGATTCATTGTTGATTCATTATTGATTCATTATTGATTTAATGTTAATTAAATTTGGCACTGGCAGTGTAAAGGTCTGTTGTTGGAAGTAGTTTTGATTTATAGAGAGGTTCTACGCTAACATTAATCTTTGATTGATTTGCTGGTTGATTGACATTTGCGTTAAGTTACTAGGGACGATTTGCGAATAATAGATTATACATTTGCTTTATCTTCCCACGTATTGTGAGAATTATCAAAGCCAAGCCATTTGACAAGAACTTTGTTTCCACGTGTCTTGAGAATTTTTTCCACAAGATAAATATCTGAATATTTTACTTTAAGAAGTTCCTCTTCATAAAATCCTCCGCTGATGGGTTGATCCTGGTAATCCTTGAGCTTGTAAGTCACTGGTTGAGTTGATACAACTTGATCCACGGTGAATATTTCTGTTGTCCAATTGGGTGTATATCCTTTCTCGAAAACGTTTTTATATTTGCTTACTCGAACTTTATCACCAATTTTATACTTGGTCGTCTTAAAGGAATTTTTCTCAGTTTAGAGATCCTTTCTTTTAAAATTTCAACGTCTTCTGAAGTAACATCTTTAGGCTTCATTCCAATTGTTCTATGTTTTGTATTATTGTAGTTGGAAATAAGAGTAGGCAATATATCATACCACTTGTAATTTCCTCGTAAACTAAATTGCATCCACATTTTTCTTTTTAGTGTTCGATTAAACCGTTCAACAATGGAAGCTTTCATATTACTGTATGTTGAGTAAAAATTTATTTTATGCTTTTTCATTAATGCTTCAAATTGTGAGTTATAGAATTCTTTTCCTTTGTCACTATGCAAGTTTTTTGGTATGCGTTTTTTAGCAAATATAGATTGCATTGCATGAGAAACATCTTTTCCATTTTACTTTTTACTGGAACAGCCCAAGCATATTTCGAAAATATGTCTATAACTGTTAGTAAATACTTGAAACCTTTATTTATTCTTGAATAAGGTATCATTTCTACTAAATCTGCTTGCCATGTCTCATCAATATCACGCATTTCAACTCGCCGTCGAGGATAATTTTTTCTAGCCTGGGTATGAAGTTCATTCACTACTGTTAATTTTTTGTTGTTCATTCTCGAGAGCACTTAAGCGAGTATCCAATTCACTAATAATTTCAGCTGTTCGATAAGATAAGTCTTGATTTATATCTTTTTCAAAATTTTTTATTTTTTCTGTAATAGAGTCTTCAAGAACTTTTAGAAATAAGTTGTTATTGTCCACCTCTGATCTAAGTGAGGCACTAGCTTCATACAATAACGCACTTCGTGTTTTATCATATGTCGTACAAGTTTTAAATGACAGCGTCGTTTTCTTCTTCAGCGTTAGCAAGATTAGAGAGTTTTCTTCCTTCAACGTCAAAGTTACCTTGAGAATTAAGTTTAAAACCAACTCCAGGAGGCCCTCGTCTTGCTGTTCCTCTTTGATTGAGAGGATGTCCGAACACGTCAATGCTCATTGTTGAATGAATGATATTTGCTAAAACACATCTTAATATATAATTTTAGCTTCACGTAGTTCCTCAATGATAGACATGATTTCATTATTGTGACTAGGATTTCCAGCAGCTTGAGCAGAAAGCCATTAATAGTCTAAGGACGGTCAACCAACTCATTTGGATCATCCCAATAGATATATTCTCGTTGAAAATTTTGTTTGTAATCATAAATTTAGGTAATGAACAACCGCTTACAGATGACCGTTGGTAGTGTTTCGAGGGAAGAATTGAGATATAAATTCAATACTTGTAACTCTTATCCGTTACGTAATAGATTCAGAGGGAACTATACTTCTTTTTGTGTGCATTAGTAGCAATCAGATCTCTTTATAGTTTCTTTCATCATCTTCACTTATAAGCGATGTAGGTAGTTTACTTTTAAATAAAAGTTCAAGTAATCCAGCGTTTGAAGATATCGTTATTACCAAATTTTTACATGCTGATCTTCAAGAGTTATTGGTGATCACCATCATAAGTGATCCATCACTTAGCTTACGTATGCCGTATGTTGAATCTAAACATTGCTTTCTATTATGATTTAATAAGTATAGAAATTTATTACTTATTTTTATCATCATCTGGAGATTTTTCAGTTTCACTTTCAAAAGTATATGCTATCATCCATCTTCTGCTCTTTCTTTTCAATCTTGCTAGTCATGTTTCAGTGTCGTCACAGTCTGTAAAATGTTTTAAGTTTTTGTCGGGTCTTGAACTATCGGTGTAATAGTTCTCAGGTCCGCAACCTTTCAGCTTCTTTTTTCCTAATTTTAACATACGATGTTTTCGCCTAATTGCCTCGCTAGCTTTAGCAATTTGATGAAGATATTCTTTTTCTTTATGAAACATGTTATTATTACAAGGTTCATATTGAACTAACAATATTTTAGGGATGATCCTATATTTATAGTGTTACACAGCTATCAAATCCCTTTTCTATACCTTCCATCATTTTACCCCAATCAAATCCTTATCAATTACTACAAATCCATATTTGTCTGAATTTCCAACATGTGAAAATAGTTCTCGAAATTGATTAAAATGTCGCATGTCAGTATTAACATGATCATCATAACATGCTTTAAAAATTTTTTCTCATCTGACGATAAAATGAACTAGTAAATTAACATATCCGTACAATGTTTAGGAAA